GAAATATTCAGTAGTAGGCCTATATACAGTATTTTTAACGTTACTTTCTTGAATAATTTATAAGCATATTGCTGTGTCTCTGGAGTCTTGTCTGTAGATTTTCTACTCTGTATTTATTTGCAGGCCATAGTGTTATTTGCCGATCCAAACCACTTTCTGTCTGAATTATATCGTACCTTCTCAAGTCTTTGTCATGATCCTGAGATTTCAGTACGGAGGACAGCAGCTGGTGGTTTCCATGAGGTACAAACTCAGAAAGTCATTTAAACATATTTTTTGTCATAGTACACAATGTGACTCACATTTTGACAGGTAGCAGTGCCTCAGTTCAGAATGTACAATACCATCTTTTCTAATCCCTCTGCATTAGGTGGTCAAATTACTGGGCCCAAATGTGCATTACATACACAAAGAGCTAATCACTTTGCTGCAGGATGACTCGTTAGAGGTGAGACCTGCATAAAGGTTTGTGTGTGTGTGTGTGTGTGTTTATTAAAAGAGCTTTCAGCTGTCTGTATCAACTTCAGTCAGCACAGTCATTTCCTTGGCACACTGTGCTGTGTGAGACATGGCAACTTTCTTCACAGAGAGATTCAGTCTTACTCAAAACCTTTACTGACCGCTGAGTTCACATGAACAAATAGCTGTCTGACCATTCAAAACCCCATCCTCGCAAGGCCAACTGAGCTTATGGAACTTTTTTATTTGGATGCCCATTAGTTAGACAAGAAATTCCCTTCTGGAGTGTGTGGGAAGCAGAGAAATAAAATTATTTGGTTCTTTCTTTGTAATGTATTAACAAAAATGAACTACTGTACCTGTAGACCTTAAAGGTAAAGTGTGTAATTTCTGCACCACTTGAATGGAATTGGAAAAAAATGGCAGGTTTTCCAAACATGCCCCCATTTGCAATTTATCGCAATTAGATTTGATATTTGAAAAAGTTGCATTGAAAAAGTTACACACATCACCTTTAACACCAAACTACCAAAAATTCTTTATAGACACCAGACATACCATGTCTGCATGTGTGTATGAAGCTGTGTGCACAAGTGTGTGAGCCTTTGCGGAGGTTGCATGCAACTGTGTAGGATGAATGAATGCATTGAACCTCCCTAGCTAAGGCTAGAGTGTGGTATTGTTTATTCTGTCATGATCCTCTGAGCAGTGTTAGTCACACACTGCATTAGCATCCACTATAGTGCAAAGCTCCCCGAGCCATCAGACATAGTGATTTTCATGATTAATGATGATGGAAACCAAACATTATAGGCTATCTATTATAGTCAGTGATCTCACCCCAGCTTATCTTCAATTTTAGAATCCCTTCCTGGGGTTGGTAGAAATGACGAGAAGGCTTTGTTGATTTGAAGGGCTTAGATTAACATTAGCTCAATGCTTTTAAATCTGCAGGTATTGGATGCTCTGTTGGACAATCTTCAAGAGACTTTAGAGCTGGCCACTTCCAGAGGGGAGGGAGCAGGACCTGAGAGCAAGGTATCTGCTTGACTTTTTGATGCTTTTAGTTAGCATTTTCTTTCGTGACTTCTTTTGATGTGTCCTTGCTAAATAAAAGTATTAATTAAAAAAAAAATTCACTGACATCACTCTCAACCTTACAGCAGGTGAATATTCCAGACTTGGTGCCTGGTTTGGTAGCAGCAGAACAGAAAGCGGCATCCTCGCTGCACTGGCGGGTTCATGAGAAACTCCTGCAGTGCTACTCCTGTCTGCCCCGTGTCATTTCTGGAGACCAGATCTACTTCCGCTTCTTTCAGAGAATGTTCAGCATCATCACTACCAATGTAAACTTTTTACACACACACTCCTTCCTGTACATTCTCTCAATTTTAAGTGGCTATTTCATCTGTCCTTCTGTTTACTCTGTTCTAGAATGTTCTACCAGTCCAGCGGGAAGCTGTCAGGACGTTATGTGTGTTCTTGCGCTATAACCGCAAACAGGAACAGCGGCAAGAGATAATCAGCAAAATAAAGCAAGGTAAAAAAGCAGGATCTGCTTATTTCACATTTTTGTGTATGAGATTCTGTGATTCAGTTTGTCAGGACCGTATTCTCTTCTGAATTTAAGAACTTGCTCAAGGTAGAAGCTACTGGAACAGGCTTCGGTATCTGGACCTGTGTGAAATCACAATAGACCTCTTCTCCAAGTCGTATTTTTGTAAACATTTCCTTATTCCAGCGCTTGAGTTGGTCAGTGACCCTGTAGCCAATGTCAGGTGAACAGCTCAGATTTTTTTAACATCTGTTATTGCATCCTTGTTTACTGTGCTCTGACTAATGCTCTAACGAATTACTGCTTATTGTTTGTTTTATTCAACCAAAAATAAACCTTCTGGCAGGTACAAGCTCTGTTATATGTTACCCAAACTGAGATCCACCATCAAGCCAACAGACAAACATCTACTTCAGCAGCTGGAGTTCTGTGTGCGGAAATTGTTGTGCCGTGAGAAGGACAAAGATGTAGTGGCAACTTTGCGCAAGGTGAGGCTCTCATTATTAAAGTAGCAAAGTTTTGCTAAAATTTGATGGGCAAAAAATGGTCCATGTATGAAGCAAAGCTCACATAGAAGTTGCTTTCAAACCAAACAGCTTTCTGTTGATCAACACAGTGTATTTGCATGATCAACTTAAACCCACTGCAAAATCTGCACGAGGAAATCTCTTACCCTCACACGGATTCCACTTGAAATGGCAGGATTTTGCCTATTAAAAACAGTAAATGTGATTGCACCTTAAGTCTTTTGTGAAGATTTTTAATAGATTGAAAATCAATTAATTAATAGATGTAATTAAATCTTCAAATGGTTTTATTATGTTTTCTTAGACAGTTCTGGAGCTGGACAAAATGGACATAACAGAGCCGGTATGAAAGATCTGTTACTTTGACCCTTTCAGTTTAGTTGTTTTTGAGTAGTTTTTATACACCATCTTCTTTTTATGAACACTGTGAGCTCATTTTGTTTCACTGTTATTTTTGAAATAAATGTTCATATTTATAGTATCATAAAAGGCATGAAAGAGAGCTTTTGGATCAGAAAAAGGAGAAGGAGGAGACTCTTTTACTTGAAATGGTGAGTGATTTACCCTTTTTGAATTATTTTATGAAGGCAGCAAGTTCACTTATAATGGTAGTCATGTTTTTTTTTTTTTTTTACACCAAAACAATTTTATTTCTCCAATTTATCTGTTGGCTGATTGGGCCTGTAAAGACAAATAGGTTTTCATTATGTGTAATGAATGTAATTGAATGAATGTAAATGTAATTTTTTGATGTCAGAACAAAGACAAAAATATAATTTTAAACATCACTCCTGTGTTTGTGGTTTTGTAACACATAGGAACTGCTAGAACGACAGCAGAGTGAGGCAAAACTAGCTGGAGATAAACAGTCGGAGAAGAAACGTGAGTGACATTCATTCATGCACCCTCTCTCTCAAACTTTGGATTGTTTACTAGCTTACATATGTAAATTTCTCAAATGTATGTGGGCGTTTACTTGTAATGCTTTTGTAATGCAGAAAGAGACAGCAAGTCAGGCCTCTCTGGTAGTAAAGGAATGTCAGGATCTACATCAGGAGCAACATCATCCTCTTCTGCTGGTTAGCATCCTTCCTGATGTACATTAATGATAACTGAATAACAAAAACATTGCATTTGTTGCATTGCATTTGCAAAAGTTTGTAGTCAGGAATTTCTTTTTAAAGAAATTAATACAGCAATGAAGCATTAAATTGATAATGTAAAATTATTATTTTTTTTTTTCAAATAAATGCTGTTCTTTTTGTATTTATCAAATAATACATGGGAAGTTCAGCAAATGCTTGAGCAGCAAATCAGCATATTAGAATGATTTCCTGAAGAATCCTGTGACATTGAAGACTGGAGTAATGATGCTGAAAATTCAGCTTTGCCATCACAGGAATAAATTACATTTTAAAATAGAAAAGAAAAAAAAACAAGAATTGGAAGGTGCTTATTTTCTCAACACTGATAATGTTTGCAGGTAAGGAGATGCGGAGGGCCAAACTAGCTCGCAGTCGTTCCCTCAGCGGTCATCCCACGACAACCAAGATGACAAACCCAGACAAATCCTTGTACGTAACACAATCATCTCATCGCTCTTGTGTTGCTATCGCAGTGGATTGCACCAGCCGAGTTCTGTCTGGATTTTGAATTTAGTCATGAAATTGCCATGACCCATCACCAGTAGTTACATAGCGTGTTTATACTCACCATTTTCTCTTTAGAAAAGTGAAGGATTCAGGAAGTTGCCCTGGATCAGGAAAGAGCGCTATGTTACCATTAAATGGTATTTAATAAAATTTCATCATGAATTATAATGACTTGTGCTCTTTGCCGCAAACGTTCTGTCGTTTACCTGTACTTGTTTGTTTTCCAGATGATAACCTGCGACCTCACCACTTCAATGTTGCTTCATCAATCTCCTCCACCCCATCCTCCTCCTCCATGCCCGTCCTGATCCGCAGCAACACGAGCAGCTCTGTGGATCACCGGAGTAACGGGAATAAAGACACACAGTCTAGGAAGCTCTCTGTGTACGTAGTGTGATCCTGTACTTTTTGAACTTCATCTTATAATCTTTTATTAATCATGACATTTTGGGTGTAATCATTTTATGATTATAAGCTGGAATGATTCAGCCAGACTGAACTTGACCTCTGTGATGCTTTTCTATTCGTGTCTGACAGACAGCGGAAGTCAAATTCATTTGGAATGCAGTCTGGGAGAGAGTGATTACCACTTTGCCTTCTGACTTAAAGCCCCTTTCTACAAGACTTTTCATTCTGCAGTAGCAGTGACCCTCCATTTTGATGTGTCCATTCTCTTCTATACCAGAAACGGCTTAAGATATGCTGGGGCATCAATTAAGGTCTGCATTGATCCATCTCTGCCTTATTTCACACGGAAATTCACACCATACATCACAAAATGAAAACGAGAGTTGAGGAGTAATTGAATGTATTTAATTTACTGCCTCATTATTTAGTTTCTTGTATTATAGCATGCTTTGCAAATTCTGTTTTATATTTTTGAAGTGGCTAAGAAAAAAAGAAGCACTATGTATTTTTATGATTGAAGAGTTTTGGAACTCTCCATCCCATCCCACCAATGAGACTGTGCCTGGTGCTGCCCAGCACCTGATTGATTAACGCCAACATCTTAGTACCCAATGAATAAAATTCATGTTGAATATGACGCGCTTTAATGAGTTGCATTTGAACAGCCTGCTAAAGTGCTGATATGAATACTATGCTGGTACTGACAAATCTCCAGAAGAACAAAAAACAAGATACTTTTCACTGTGTGGGTAACACTCCATCACGGCATCAATAAATCTCTTAAATCGACCATTTCAGAAAAAACTATAAATTTTCAGTTGTTTACTTATCAGACATTGTATTGTTATTATATTATACGGATATTTTTGTTTTAAAACATTAAAAACACTATTCTGTTACATTACACAAATAAATGTTAAATTCTAAGTTGGTTATTCAAGCAAAACAACTGGTTAATCTATGAGTAGGACCAAGACTGTAAGTTGGTAGTTTCTCTATACATAATTAGTTCTTAGTTGGGTCGACCACACGTCCTATGTAAAGGATGCATTTTGTGGCCTCATGGTAGATGACAAAAATGAAGGGTCGGTTGAAAGTGAGCCTGGGAGGAAGAGGGGTCGTAAAGAGATTTCTGGAGGCATCGGCCACTGAGCCTCCAGTCTCATCCACTTCCACGGTGACCTTCTGTACCACCTGGAATCAAGAGGCATTGGTCAAATGCATGCTGGTATATCTCATCTTTTACTATATATATTGTATGATATATTAATGTTACACACACACACACGCATATATAGGTTGTGGTCAATAAGAGTCCAATGTCAGTAAAGGACATTTATAATGTTAGAAATTATTATTATTATTATTTTATTTTTTTTTCAAATAAATGCTGTTCTTTTGGATGTTTTATTCATGAGCACCAAATCAGCATATTAGAATGATTTCTGATCATGTGACATTGAATACTGGAGTAATGGCTTCTGAAATTGAGCTTTGCCAGGAATAAATTACATTTTAAAATATTCAAATAGAAATCTGTTATTATATATTGTAAATTTATTTAGCAATATTACTGTTTTTACTGAACAAATTAATGCAGCCTTGGTGAGCATAAGGGGCTTCCTTCAAAAATATATTTAAAAAAAATTCTTAATAACCTCCTATTTTTGAACAGTAACGTATAGTATATATACACACAAACACATCAATGTTATGTCAATACTAGTTAAAATCATGGTTCATGTAACTGGTAGACATGAGAAATGCATTGACATGAAAATCTTCCTTGTATTGTTGGAAAGATTTCACACCTCTGACAGTTTCAGGCCTTCATCGCTGCTGATTCCAGAGAGATCTGCAGTACTCCCGAAGATCTCTTTAATGCCCAGGCTGGGCAGACTCATACTTAGTGAATTGGGCTGTTTCAATGAAAATCTGGGCAACTGAATCTCCAACTTCCTGAGGACAGAGATAAAACTGATCTTTAGAGATCAACAGAAATGTGTCTTGAAAATTGCAGGGTAACTATAAGCTGTTTCAAGTATGTCATATGATTGCTCACTTTGGCTGCTCAGCATGAGTTTGATGGAGATTTTTTGAGTCATTTAAAAAAACACATTGATTTGTGAAAATGTGAGAGACTGATTACGTGACTCACGTCTTTTTCAGCTTTGAAACCCATCGGCGAAACACTTCACCAGTCATGGATTCATCAATGTAGGTGTAGTCCACATCTTCATCTGGAAGAAGGACAAGCATGGCAATGCCCTCCTCACAGGGCAGTTTCAAAATGCCAACCTTTAACGTGGGGTCATAGGCCAGGTAGTATTTGCCTGTACGGAGCATCATGGGCACTTGTACAATCTTATATTTGTTCACATAGAAACGCTCCTCTTGGGTGAAGGTAACGTTGAAGGGTTGCAGCCACTGACCTGTTAAAGATCAAGAGATTAAGATTACCTTTTCACATTCACTTTTTTTTTAACTTCTTATCTGCCTCTCTGGAATACCTGATTCTGATTGGTCAATCGTGGCATTCAGTGGTCAGATGTTCATCTTGTTGGTTTTGTACATGGTAATGGACTGTTTTTCTTAGCAGTCAGGTAAAATGTTAACTCGGATCAATATTTCATATCTTTATATTCATATATTCGGTAAACAGCCATGCAACAAGCAGGATAATGTACATTATCCCTTACATATCTGATATTAGCATATATTAGAAAACAAAACATGCTAATATAGAAGAATAATAGCAACTACTACTTGAAATATTAATTATGACATTATTCACTTGTTTTCTCCTCACCTGTGAAGAAAGCCGCACTAATTAACATCGCCATGCTTTGTGGATCTACATTCTCCACCACATCTTTGACCTTGTCCCCTGTTCGGCCTCTTACGTAATCATCGATACTCCCTTTGGCCTGCTGTCCATTGGCATAATTCACATTTTGAACATCTGCATTATAAAACTGCTTAACCTGGTTGCCAAAGCTGTCATCTGCCTTGACGTCTTGCTTCATGAAGAGGCCAGTGGCCTGGATTTGAGCAGTGGTCTCCCTCAGCTGCTTGAGTAGGGTCTGAATCCGTTCTGGCTCTCCATCTTTCTCCATGGAGGCCACACCTATACCCTCTAGCAGCTCGGTGCGAGTAGCCCCACCAGCCCCGGCTGCTAATGTGGCTAAGGCCAAGGTAGCCCCAAGGGTCGAAACGGCTACATTGTCATCATTTGAGCTAGCTATCTTGCTGTACAGCCGGGTAGCAAAGTCGGCATTCCTATCAGCAAGCTCTTCAACATCTGGGGTTTGCCCAAGAACGGACACAGCAAGGAGAGATGCTCTGACCAAGAGGGAGAAGATGCCCATCTTCATGATGCTCTGGTGAAAAACATTTTCAGGCATATTATTTTATTTATCATGTAACAATATTAGCTACATTATCTCATATAATTAACCATGTAAAGCCTGACATGAAATACTAGGCAGAAAAATCTAATTCCTGAAATGTAACAATTTATTGAACCTTTAGACAAAATATAAAACCACATTAAAAAAAAACTTTGCATATGTGTTTTATATATTGTATCATTTTTTAATACAGGGTTTTATGGCTCATGATATAGTGAGAATATGGAGCTCACACTCGAGGAGAACAAAAACATCAATTTGACTAATTTTATTGCAAAAAATGTGCAGTTTAGTGCAGATGTTATTTATATGGCATAAAAGTAAGGTCAAATTCTGATAAGCTTGTAACTCAATTAGATTTTTATAACTGTAAACATATGCTGACTGCTTACATAAACTGCATATAAATGTCTATTATTATTTTGGGGACAAAAAATGCAATGCAATAATACAATGATTGAGAGATTTACAAACGTTCCTCAAAAGCCTGATCTATTATATGTGACACTAACATTTTGACATGATTTAAAAAATAAAATAAAAATAAAGGATGGATAATGGTATGGATAATGAAATAAACCTAAGTTGCTCCAGTTCAGTAAATGCTCATCTTAAAATATTATTAACAATATGAAAGTTATTCTTATGTTTACTTTACAAAAATCATTAAGAGTTTAAAGACGCATGTACCATAACCTGAAGGCGGACTAAAAGAATTCTAATAAAAGGCCTTTTAGTTGCTTAAAAGTGGTAACTATCAATCGGTGTGTAGAAGGAATATTGTGCACTTTTTTCAGCAAAGTTTAACATGTTGATCATTTGAATGCCTTAGAAATGTATGTAGCTTATTGAAAGTGATACAATGGGCTTTATAAGGACCAATTCATAATTATATATTATTAATAACGAAATGTAGTATATGAGATCCCACAATGGAAAACACACAACTGACTGTCATTATTTTGATATGGAGCTGATGAATAAGCATAATTCTAATCTTTGAACTTTTGACAGGTCATAGCTCTAACCAAGTAACAGGATTTGCAACTGAAATCTCAAATACTAAGGTATTTTTTATAGTTTTCAAAACCAAATGGCAGCTGTAGCTTACTAACAATGCAGAACGTTATGTAATGACTATAGAAGAGTAAGCAGTCTGTTATTCTCATCACAGCCAGAAATAACAGCTAAACAAAACAGAGTCGTTTGAATTGGGATTTAAAAAAGTATGTGAATATCTGCAATAAAGCTCGTGCACAGTCATGCAGTGTGTTGACAGTAAGGTTTCTTTCGCACTGCGCTAACATACCGGGGCACTGTTATCAAACATAAATATAAAAAAAAAAAAATCAATACAGTGTTCAAAATTACAAAATCATGTGCTTTAGATTCTACAGAAATGATGCAGAGATTTAAGTAGAAATATAGAAAAATATGGTACTTACAAATTTCTGTTTCGACGTCAGTGTCTAATATCCTTGTTGAACGACTACAGACAGGAATGTTTCAAAACCATTCACTGCAAACACTGTAATTAAATCGACTAAACTAACAGTTCACATGATGTCGCCATCAATAACAAACCGTACATACGGAGATTACGCAACATCCGCCCTTTGCTCATTCTTGATGAAGTAGGCTACGCAGTTTACGCATGTCCTAATCGCACATTTGGTATATAAACAAACATCGATGCTTGTACTGCTATTTTGTATACTTTATTTCCGTAATATTTATTTTTGCTTTGTGTTATTTTTTGACAACGGAGTGGTTGCGAAAAGTAAAATAATAATAATAATATAATAACAATAACATTTTATATAGTGATATTAACGAACATGTTCCAGTATACAATTAGTATGATTAATTGTGAGTATCCTTATAAAGTTGCTAATAAGATGTACACGAGAATACCAAATTATTATTTTTTACTAGTTTTGTATGTTTGACAATTTAATTAAAACTATATGCAGATATATCATATCTGATGACTGGCAGGACATATATAACAAACGCGACAATGGTCCAAACAGAGAAATAAATGTGAAAAACGTAATGAACATTAAAAGCTGTAGATGATGTAATCACAAATGGCTGTGATTGGTCAATCCTGTTATTCCCCTTTTCAGCGCTGATGACAGTAACATGTTCCAGGGTACCACGTGACAACGCCGCCAGTACATACTACAGGTGCATCTCAATAAATTAGAATGTCGTGGAAAAGTTCATTTATTTCAGTAATTCAATTTTGTTTGTTTTTTTTAAATGTGAGCCAAAATCATCACAATTAAAAGAACCAAAGACTTAAACTACTTCAGTCTGTGTGCACTGAATTTATTTAATACACGAGTTTCACAATTTGAGTTGAATTACTGAAATAAATTAACTTTTCCACGACATTCTAATTTATTGAGATGCACCTGTACTTTAGCCGAAGGCTACCGGTTGATTGAGTAGTCAAACTGTTTTTAATCCAAGGTGGAAAAAAAGCTGTTAGTGCAGCAATCTCTTTAGTTCAGGGGATTTGGTTTGGAGCAGTACTTGTGCCCGAAAGTTTAGCATCCTTTGGCTTGTCCTGAAAGGCTTACCAAACATAACGAGCAAACTTGAAATGTTGTAGATTTGAATCATTGTCACAATTTTTTTTTTACCTCTGAAATGTAATGTAAAATTATATGTTTTAATATATGCTGATAAATACAGCAGAAAAAATATAATCTGATGGCAAAGCATACATGTTGAAGACAATACAAGGCCCCTGGTGGTGACTAGCCTTTTTGGAGGCCCTCTCTTGTCGCGGAGTAAACAATCAAGCAAGCTGAATTAAAATACAAATAAAATCTCTGAATTTTAACTTTATTTCTTATAATTAAGATTTTGTCAAAACGCTCTTACGCCTTTAATTTCTTAGATGTTTGACTTTATTTTTGCATATGAGAAATTCCTGATAAAAACTGATTTTTTTCTTCTTCTTTGAATTGTCACCATACATACATATAAACAGCAATTGTGAGAAATAAAGTCATAATTAAAAGAATAATCACACAATGGGTTTAATAATATTGCAAAACAATTTAGGCTTATATAAAACAGTAGTGCTGCAATAGTGCATTCAGAAGCCACTGTTAGTATTGATAAGTTGTCTGGAACCAAATAAATAAATAATTTTAGGCCTATTGGCCCAGGCCAAATTCATCCTTTGATACTGCAATATGTGAATGGTTTACTAGTAGAAAACATTAATACAGTAAAGTAAAGCAAGTGAGTGAAAGAGAAAAAGGCATTTTATACTTTATGGATGGTAAAAGCTTTTTAGTAATGGAGCAAAGGCCTATAATTGAACCCTTTTCAGATTAACTTGAAATATGTTTATCATTAGGGTATTATTAGGATGGACAAAATAATCTTCATTACAGGGTAGAGGCACAGGGAAGCTTGTCTTCCATTACCATCTTTCTCTACAGCAATGTTAACCAGTGTTACAAATCAGTCCTGTTCCCCAGCATTTTAAAATGCATTTCACATTTCATTCTCTTTTTTGTATGGCACAAGGATGACCTTACAATGAAGTGCCTTTCAGCTGAGAGCTCCTTCACATTATGTTTTATTGTTTCAGTTCATTCTTCACTTTCATTCCTCTTTGTGTGCATCAAGTAAAGAGTCAAAGGCGGCAATGCAGAGCTTGATCTGCCTCTCCAAGGCTGCCATTGTTGAATGGCTGGGTAAGTCTCAGTGTCCAATGTCTCTTGTGCTACCGGGCGACAGGGATTTGCTTTACAGGCACATTCTCTTGTGCTTGCTGGCTGGTGCTTGGCACGTCTATGTTGGGATCGTCATCCACCTGGTAGCACTTGCCCAGGTTCTTGATGATGTTGAAGTTATAACGTGCAGTGTCTGCAATGCTGTTCTCCAGAAGCCAGCCGTCAGACTCAGAGTCAGCGTCTCCTAACCTCAGCACATTCTCCATGGCTGTCTGAAGATATCGCACTCCTGTCAGCACTGACACCTAGAGGAAGGAACAAAGATTGAAGAAAATGAGGAAGCTACGGGTGTTTCTTGCTTTAAGAATGAGAGGTTGCAGGTTCAAATCTCACCCGACAGACCATTTTTTGGGGCAGTCGTGGCCTAATGGTTAGAGAGTCGGACTTGTTACCCAAAGTTTGCGGGTACCGGCAGGGATTGTAGGTGGGGGGAGTGAATGACCAGTGCTCTCTTTCACCCTCAGTATCATGACTGAGGTGAGACCCTTGAGCAAGGCACCGAACCCCAATTGCTCCCCGGGCGCTGCAGCACATGGCTGCCCACTGCTCCAGGTGTGTGTTCATGGTGTGTGTGTGTGCGTGTTTGTTCACTACTCAGTGCTGTGTGTGTGCACTTGGATGGGTTAAATGCAGAGCACAAGTTCCGAGTATGGGACACCATACTTGGCTACATGTCACGTCACTTTCACTTTTTTTCACTTTCAATTTTTTAAGAAAATTAAGCCAATTGAAATTGCATCTGTTTATCAGTAGATGTCTGCAAACCCTTGCATTTGATTTGAACTGTGAAACTAACCCATACTGAAAAAATAATTATAATAGGAATAAAGAAAAAAAAAAAAGAAAATAAAGAAAAAATACATAGGGTGAATTCAGGTTAATTGGGATGTTTTTCCTAGTCATCTCAATACAGTAAAGACATTTATGGTAATTTCCTTCAGAAATAATTCTAATATGTTCATTTTGGTGCTCAATTATTATCAATTATTATTAGTGTTAATTTATTAATAATAGTTCTTATTATTATCAATGTTGAAATTTTTGGCTGCTTAATATTTTTGTCAAAATGATTATGTAGTTTTTTTTCAGGATTCTTTGAATAGGAAGTTCAGAACAACAGCATTGTAATCTATTGTAACATTATAAAAGTCACTTTTGATCTATTTATTGCATCCTTGCTGAATAAAAGTATTAATTTAAAAAAAGAAAAACTTTTGAATGGTAGTGTAACCATTTCCACAAAAATATTAAGCTGCACAACTGTTTTCAACATTGATAATAATAAGAAATCAGCAAATTAGAATGATTTCTGAAGGATCATGTGACACTGAAGACTGGAGTAATGATGCTGAAAATTCAGGTTTGCCATCACAGGAATAAATTACATTTTAAAATATATTAACATAGAAAACAATGTCAATATCACACCTCAAAAAGCCAGATGATGAGAACAATTAAGCCAATGGACTGCATTATCTGTGTGTAGTGCTCCAGCAGGGCCTGTCTGCAGCCCCTCCGGTTCAGGTTCAGCTCCTCCTTCTGGTAGTTGTAATTATAGTGTGCTGAGTTGTTAGTGATTTGATGCTGAATGCAGGGCCGAGGAGAATGCAGGCCACAGCAGCTGAACGGCACTCCGTCAATCAGATACTTTCCCTCCACGTTACTCCGCAGTCGCCTGAAGAAGAGAAGAATGCATTAAATAACTTTCTGCAATATTAATAATATACCTATATTCGAGGTATAGTCCACCCAAAATAAATACTTTGTCATCATTTACTCACCCTCATGTTGTTCTAAACTTGTATGACTTTCTTTCTTCAGTGGAACAAATTAAAAAATGTCTCAATTGAAAGTCAGTGGGGTTGGGCGCTATGATGGACCCTGCTGACTTTCATTGTATAGACAAAATCAACTGAAACATTCTTCAAAATATCTTCTTTTGTGTTCCACAGAAGCCATCATGACCTGCATTGGAACAACATGTGGTGAGAAAATGATGACACAGTTTTCATTGATGGGTGAACCACGTAACATTAAAGTGCATTGTGGGTAGATATGACTTACTCCACCACTTCGCTATTGGTCATATCCAGGTAGTGGTAACTAATCCACTGAATGTGAAACCAGTCTCGATAGCCTCCGTTGCCGCAGCATTGAAACTGCATCTGCAGCATGTCCATTGTGTGCTTTATGTAGCAGCGGCCTGGCATGTCCGTGTCCTTATAGTAGCTCATGGCATCACGCAAGCCCAAAAACAGCGACTCCTCCAGATCATTACGCATGCTATAGCACATCAGGGCGCCCACGAGGATGCAAAAGGTAAAGAAAAAGGTACATATGATGTAAGGCAGCATCAGCAGCTTCCATCGCAGGAACTTGGTAGTGTCCACGCAGTCATAGCAGATCTTGCCCCCCAGGAAGCTGATAGCACAGGCAGTCAAGCCAACACAGATAAGCATGTTTGGCACTGACACGATCTCTTTTGACATCAGCTCCCGTCTCTTCTTGATTTCCACCTTTAAGAACAGGCCCATGCTGAAGAGCGTGACTCCAGTTACCACAGACACCCAGTTCAGCACCCATAAAACCTGGGCCAGTTTGTCTCTGTTTGTCTTCGTAAATGTCACTTTTAAGACTGCCATTTTTGATGGGGAGCGTTGCTTTTACCGTCTCAGTGGTAAATGTTTACGTCGAGGTGTAAAGCTCATTTTATTTTAGGGCGATATAACGTACTGGGTAAATGGGAGAAGACAGGCAACATGTTCCATGGGGAGGAGGGAAGTGAACTGGGAGAGAAGGCCAAGAGGGCCACATAAGCAGCTTAGGTTAGGTATTTTTACACTCCTGAATGACGGCCTTAGCTTCATAATAGCACAGATACTGAAATCAAGATGAAAATGTAATAAAATAAATGCACGAACAGTTTACAATGTATGTAAATGGCTATTTAATATATATTAAATATATTTGTATATTTACTATATACTAATACTTAAGTATTATTTCTGAGTTGAATGTGGAAGCTTATCTTAGTTCATTAAGTTGTAGAAATGTTAAGTTTTTTTTTTTCAATTATAATGCATATATCTTACTTATGGTTTATAGTTTTATTAAGTTATATATTGTTTTAATGCATATTTAATATGAGTATGAATTTAGAATGTAATCAATCAGGGCATTGTTAACTTGTCAAGTATGTATTCATGTACACACTCCAAAAACATTATAAATAGCAAAACATTAGCTGTTACTCTAGCCACTATAGGCACTACTTTAATGCCATTCTCAGTTGTATTCCCACAACCCCCACCCCCTTAAAACCACATAACCTACCTGCCCAGATCTCACACAGTCACATATGGGCTTGTTATCCATGGACCTTGATTGTAGATGCCGTCATATTTCCTTTTTTTGCATATTTCAAGTAAGGGACCACAGAAGAGGCGAGGAGTGTGTTTAGAGTGAATTCTCACTGACCTCCACCTAATCCATTTATCCTTAGGATTTAACAGAACCCTTCGAAGCCATCTGGGCCAATCCCAAGCAAATAACATCAGTGCTTCCACACCCACATGCTTTCAATAATAAATAATATAATATGTATTTATTATCTGTTAAATAAACCCCATCGACCCAAAACATGTACATTCATACAAGATGATTAGATATGAGGGAGAAGCCTTTACTGTATAAGTTAACATTGGAATTTGTCAGTATCCTATACTATGGAGCTAATATTATGACAAAACAATTTGAATTTGAATTGTGTTAAATTTGAATTATTGACAAGTGTTATTTAACAAAACTGAATATTATGTGGGATTTTAAATCGTTTTGAATTTGATTTTGATTTTAAATTTGAATTTTTTTTTTACTTGAATATTTAACATTTGAAATTTAACACAAATGATTTTTTTTAAGGCAGAGTTTTATAGACATGTATTTTCAAACAACAGATTTTTTTGTTCTGAATTCTTAGACTGCAAATATCCAGTTTTTAAAAATACAGCTTCAAGTTTTCAAGATGAAGAAGAAATTCGGAACATCAAATTCAATTTTCTAAAATTCAAAACGCAGAAATTCAGATCGTACAGAAAGTAGGTCAGAGGTCATTCACAGGGAAGAGTAGATGATCTCCGAAAAGTGGAACAAAGCATTTTGGCCAATTAGAGCTGCAGTAGTTTGGTTTGCCAACCGCCAATAAACACCAAAGAAGAAGAAGAAGAAGAGCTGCAGTAGTGTGTCTCATTTAGAAGGCTGCGCCC